GTGCTCTGCTGGTACCAGATGGATCCCATCTGATTTCTGCACATAAACTGTACTTTGATATACTCAAAAGGAACGCCTCAAAACACGTCTCCAGTGACTTCAGCCATTTCAAAGCCTGCCCAGCTATGAAGTGGTACAGAATGTTTTAAATCCAACAGCAATCAATCAGTGCAAGGTGCAACGCCATGAGAGCGAGAACAGAACCAACCGTCTGACACGCCACGCAGAAACTGAGTGTACAGTAATTTTAATCCAAGAAACAGCACGAAACAGCACTGAAAACTTTTGCTTCCCATCCGTCTGACTGCAGTAACCCTGATGTTTACCCACAGAAATCCAGGTCTCCCAAGGAGAAAGTAACGCAGGTACACATGGCCAGCAACAAACCCCATCCCAGAGAGCTCCATCAGCACAAGGCAGTGGAGATGTGCTGCTAACCATCTCCATTACTGTCACTGCTAATGGAATAAACAGTATTTATGTGCTCTATATATCTAAGTAATTATTTTTGTTCACAGAATGTGGTTTTTTTTCCCCCATTTCCTTAATCTCCGTGTTTGACACCAATACAGGTTCAAGTATCCCAGGCAGGCTCTCCAGCTTACCTCCCAGAGCCTGGCTTGATCCCTATTGTCTGCTGCCCGAGTTCAGCCAACAAACCTCCCAGCAAGCGGTCACCTTCCAGAGTCATTAAAGCTGGTGGTGTCAGCTGGTGGGATTAGCCTGCAGCCCGCACACCTGAGCCCTGTGGTGGGACACAGGCATTCTGATCACCATCACTAATGAATACAGCATTCATATGCAGCTTGTCATTGCTCTTGAGCCTTGAATCACACAGATGCAGCCTAAATAAGACTGATGAGACAACTATTGTTGGAGATCAGAGAGTTCTGACAGTTTCCAAAAATAGCTCAGTGTTACTGCCAGTAGTTAATAAATGAAAATAATGCCACCATACCAAGGAGCAGTAGGAAATAGAATGATTTGTATGTCACCTGTTTAAAAACAGAAGAAAATGACACATTTTTATAAAATTTTGTACTATGTCTGATGCTTATTTCTGCAAAGTAAATATGTGATATGTAGTCAACGTGGTGAAACTGGCATTTCTGTGGCCTTCTCTTTGGTACAACACAGGCTTTTGGTGCAGAGCCTGGAGGAAGGCATCCTTTACATCACAGCTGTCATAGGGACACTGCACTGCTCTCACATCTCTCAACAACAGCAGCCATGCCAGGAACAAAGCTGCACCAGGAGAGCCAGGCCTAAGCACTGGACTTCCAGCCCTCTTTCCCCCGACAATTTCCCTGTGAGCACACCTACTGACAGCCACAGCTGCTACCTCTGACCCCTCACTGCTTCTCCCACAGAGGGCTACCCAAATCTGCCAGTTGCCCTGCTCCCAGGGCTGCACCCCAACCCGTGTTTGTCAAAACCAAACAAGTTAGCAAAGGCAGAATGATCAAATCTGGCCAGCAGGTGAAGGAGCACACCTCCAGCACGAGGGCAGGCTGCAGCTGACCACTTGTTTGGGCAGCACAAGTGCAACAGCTGAGCCACAACAGCACAACCACCCCATTAAATCTCTTCCTGCCCCTCCAGAGACTGCTGGTTTTTACTCATCACCTCTTAATGCCATGCTAAAAAAAAACAGTATCTTAAATGACTCTAAATATAATCTCATATCTTTGCAGCGATCTCTTAGTGACAATTACAAATATCTACCAGGCTCCACCTCTGTCCATTTTCTCCACCTCTTTTGTGCCCCTGAACTCATCACATCAGGTGTACCTTTTTGCTCTGCAACAGCACTATTTTCCATGGCTGCTTCTCCCTCTCTTCCTTTTAGATCCTCTTGTTACTGACCTGGCTGTTTTGCTGAAATGCAGCAAAGGCAGGCAGCAGCAGCCTGCTCCACACGGAGCTCTTATCCATGGCGACCACAGAGCCGCACTACATCGAGGTATTCTTCTGCAGACAAAAACTTCTTCTTCCAAAGAAGTCAAATACCAGTAAAATACACAATGCCCCCCAATTTCCCCAGGAATTCAACCACCACAATGTAGACAAAGCCTGAATTCCAGCATTTACCACTGCAGACTGAGTTTTCCCCTGGATCATGATGGTTGCCACATCTCCTCGCTGCTGTTCAGCACCGGAAGGCATGAATGCATTTGCAAATTCTGACTGAGGTTTAAAAACCATGTGGCCACTCTCCTGAAAGAAAAATTGGCTGCAACGAAAGATCTGAGCTCAAACCACTCTATTAGATGCGCTGTTCTTCCACTTATGTTTTTTAAAGCAGACCTATAGCTGCCCACATGACAGATTAATATTGTTCCACAGTAGTTAGGTGCTTGGCATTACATTTTTGAAGCATCTACAGGCCTTCAGGGCTGAAAGTGTTCACATCTTCAGCAATCTATAATGGTTCCTCTAGAGGCCAGCACTTGCTTCATAATGAAACATGCCTCCATAAATCAGACTGCAGAAGTGGCACTTGTGTACGTCACCATCCATCTTAGCAGTTTCTCTGAAGGATGTTGGGTAAAGATCATCTCCCGGCATTGCAACCAGGGAAAGGACCATCACAGCTGGCACTGATAAAGCATGTGCTACTTAAATCTGAAGACACACTAAGTCTGTGGAAAAAAAACACATCCTGCTGGTGTTAGCATGCCTCAGGCAGTGGTAGAAGCTTCAGCAACTCATCTTCAAAAGGCAGAGAGCCAGGGCTCTAGAAACCTGCAAAAATTGGCTAAGCCTGCAGTCTTTTTTTTTTTTCTTTTTTTTTTTTTTCCCCTTTTCTTTAAGTTGAGAATCTTCAAAGTCTACGATTCTAACTGTAGGGCACAGCAGCTGCCACTGCAGATTTGATCCTCTCAGCTTTTGGCAGCTCTCAACTTGAAATTCTAGCAAAAGAATTTTTCAAGTTGCTATTATTGCCTGTCACGGATTTATAAATATTGTGCACTATCTGCTGTGGCACAGCTCTCATGGGACACCAGTGCATGCCAAAAGCATAACAGAATGAAAAACAGTTCCTATTCTTCAAATAAATGCTAATTTTTTTTAACTGCGCTCACACGATGTGTTTGGTGATCAGCTTCAATAGTACAGAATATATATCAGAGGGAAAAAAGCTGATTGTCTTTTCCAGTAGTATTCAGCTGCTACTTTCATTAAGCTTGTTTAATTACATTCCAGATGCTAATTTGCAAGTCGATACCAGAGGGTGCAGGACAGTTTGCCTTTGAATCATGTTTCTGTGATGTGATGGTCTTGCAGCACACCACTCCCCTCCAGTAGCCCTAGCAAGATATTCTGACAATTAGCACACAAAAAAGCAGCATTGATCTCGGCAGCAAAATACTCCTCCATCCATTGTATTAAATTAATCTGCAGGAATTTGAACTTCTTCATCGCCATTTCACAGCAAATTTGATACAGAATACACAACGTACTTCAGATTTAATTTCAACTGAAATACCATGCTATTTGGATTTGTCACTGGGAAAAATACATTTGGCACAAAAAGGTGAATATTTTAAGATGGCAGCCACAACAGGAAGAGATGCTGAAGAATAGGGCTGGACTCGAGCACCTGAAACTCCACTGGTGTGGATGTTCAGATTATTGCGCTGTTACCAGACAAAGAATGTCGGAGAAAACAAAGGAAGGGTTAAGGTGCTCTCAGAGATCTAAATATCTGCTTCAACAAATGGGTACGCTGCGTTTCTACACGCCTGTTTCAGCAGTATCTGTTGCCATTTATGGTTGCGTATGAAGACAATTTAATTAGGATGACCTTTCTAAGTAGGAAAAGTTGGAAATTTACCAATTTTTGGTGCCTTTTTTGGTTGCTCTTACACAAAGAATGACTTAAAATACAAGCTCAAGAACTAGCTGAGAATGAGGTAAGATTTTCAGTTCCATCACACAGCTCTCTGACATTTGTGTCCCTGAAAGGGGACTATTATGCTGCGGCTGTTGATTCCAAGGATTTGTATCCCTGTTTTCAGTATGAATAGCACACAAGTGCCAAGTGCGCAGTCACACAAGAGGCTGGAAAAGAGACTGTGCCATTCTCACAGTAGTAGAAAGGGAAAAAAGAAGAGGAGGAAATCTACACCCAGTGGTTCCTTCTGTCAGGCACCTCCTGCAGAGCTGCATGCAGAAGATACTGAGTGCTATTTAAAGATTACCATTTTTTGGACAGCATTTATAAATATCCTGAAGGCCAGAAGTCTGGGCTCTTCAGATCTTACCCAAGATACTGAGGCAACACAGACATATTACTGCACTCTGGTAGTCGTGTGCAGCTACAGCTGTATCAGACAAACAGACAGCACAGGGCCACATCTGGGAAGAACCAAACAATTGCTCACTACTGAATGTTCAGCAGTTCTGCTACTGGAAAACTGCCCAACCAACCTGAACATCTTTCAGATCTGATCGATATCATCAGCAAAAACACAACTCACAACCTTGCAGATCTCCCACTGATCAGTTCTTAGGTAGATGGGAAAAGTAAGAGAGCAGCTGCTAGTTCTGTGTTTGGAACCCAATCAACCCAAGATCCAATGGCTTTTCTATACCACTCGAACGCTTTGTTGGTTTGCAATCATGTATTTTTTTTTTTTTTTTTTAAGATTAAAAGTTGCATTAAAAAAACATAAAAAATAAAAAAAGATGGACTGATGACCAACGGAAAAACAGCAACACTGACTACATTAAGGTTGTTAAATTCTTGAAGTCAATTTCAAGTTTTCATCTACATTAAAATCACACGAGCTTTTCCATACATAGATCTGAGAGAAATTATTCATTTCTTAAAATCCACTTCATCTCTAAATTTTTTACAGCTCTGCAGTAAGCTGACATCAGTACATTAAAGTGCTAAAGCAGACTGAACTTCTTTTTTACAGCCTCAAACCTCTTCAACTCTTAACATCAAGTATTATTCAGAAAGAAACACTTGTTTTAATAACATTTCTTACCTCCATGTCTGGTTTGTACTTATCTTCAAAAACAGCCATAGCTGCCAGTGAGCCAGAACCTGCAGCAACACAATTGGGACATTTATTTAAGCAATAATATATTGAGATACTGTATCTAGACCCAGGAGTTTGGTTCTCTGTATTCATTTGGTAGGTTTTAAGGGAAAAGCTGACAGAAGCAGCACACATAGGCAAAGCCTACCTGCACACTGACCTGCTGCAACCCAACCAACCTCCACTGCTCCCAGCACTCACAACCCACCACGCTCCCAGGGGTTCCTGCCCAGCTCTGCTCCCATCTCTCCTTGCCGTTTTACTTCCAGCACTGGCAGACCAGATGGCAGAGATGAGAACACAAGTCGGGTGCTGCTGTTGTACAGCAGCACTGCAGGTACAGAACCACAGCACTCAGTGGCACGTGTTATAAGCACACTTTCTATAAACTGATACAAAAAGCAGAACAATACCATCTGGAACCGTAAACCTGCTTTGTTCAGAACCTTCAGGAAGAGCTCTCGTCTGTCTGCAGCCCTGACCATATTTCAGTGCGCTACTTTTGGGGAGCGAACAAAGTTACCTGCCATTTTTTACTCCAATTAGAAGATTTTTTGGCATTTATTACTTTTTAACTTGTTTTGCATACTGCTATCTGTTTAGCTGGGTCACAGAGAAAGCCGTATTTTCTATTTAAAATGATTTGTGTATATCGCTTGACCACCTCAATGGTTTAGTGAAAGAAAAAGGCAGCGATTAAACAGTTTCAAATGAGGTGTCCTGCTGATTTTATCAAGTCTGCTGAATGTATAATGAAAAAGGAGAAGCTGACAGCGACACTGTTGAGAAAATACAGACTACCTTATCTGAACCATTTAAGGAGGCCCAATTATAGATCAAATTTAAAGGGTAGAAACAGCAGATTTACAGACACAAATCAATGAACATGGTAATCCCAATGAATATGACAGATATTCCTGTTACAGAATATTGCTGTGGTTGAGGATCATTACCTTTACAGTACCAAATACATCACATCTAAAAGCAGTAGGATGCTCTAAGTGTGTACTTGTATTACAGGCAATGACTATTCATTCACACCTCGGAGCAATACGTGACTCCTTTTTTTAAATGCTGAAGCTGGGAATAAAAAGGATTTTTAAGCAGGTAATAGCAGAAATGAACTGCTTATAAAAACAGCTGATATCACAGAACAAACCGCCAAATAAAAGGGTTGTACTGATCTGATCCCTGCAACGAGGGCAGAACGAGGTGCAATCCAGAACAAACATGGGACTTCAAACATGATTCTTTTTGCAGAATAATGTAGGAATATCTCTAACAAAAGGGAAAAAGGGTTCTGAGACCAGATCTCGATTTTAAGACCATGCTCCTTAGGCACCCTACTGAAGGCCTACCATAAGCAGAAGGGGAAACCCTGGAAGCAGAGCAGAAACAACGGCACCCTCAGATAAGGCGTCTTTGAGACTACGAAGCCTAAAATGTTTTGCCAGAATGAAAACCTGACAGATTATTGGCTGACAAAGTCCTACACTGAAACCACTCAGCTATGAAAGAATGGTCTTCATTTCTTAAGACTTGCAGTGTCTAATAAACTAACCAATAATGGAATACTCCAACAATTCCATAAATGGCACAGACTGGAGTTATTTCTCCAGTTCCTTTTTAAAAGTAGCTCACCAAAGAAGTGGACAGAGCTCAGCAGGCTCCAGGAGGAAGGGGAAAGAAAAGGAAAGCAGCTCCTCATGCCGTCGTACACGAGATAACCATCACACTTATCATTAATTTTAAATAAATGCAGACAGCCCCATAACAGAGGTTTAAGAAGAGTTGTCAAAAGTCTTAATTAACGGTATCTATATGTAAACATTTACACCTAAAAATTCTCTTCTACTGATTACAAACACTAAAGATAAGACTTACAATTTTGCATTTTCTTAAAAAAAAAGAAAAAAAGCCCTAGCAGAAGCACCACATCTTCGGAAAGAAGAGATTGTTGTCATCTTGAACATCACAATGGAAATTCTCTGTTGCCAGCACCAACAACTGTCCTTTTAGAAACACGAACACTTCACCAAAACACATCTGCTGTTTGACAACAGCCACAGGAGCAGCTCTGAAGCACACTTGCACCATACACCCACCTGTAATACTGGGGGAAGCCCGGACCCACCTGGCTGTGGGAACACAAGCAGAAGCACTGCACTGATTCCAAGGAATTTCTTGTGCATACGTGCTCTGTGAGCTACACCTCCAGAAGAGGAATACTTGGGAAGAATTCATCTAGCATCTAAAGATCTAGAAACATTAAAGCGACCACAAAGAACTACACAAACTGGCACGCAAAGCTTATTTGGAGACGAGTATTTTTCAGCCTAATAATTAGCACAAACGAGAGGACTTATGAGGCCGTAAGAGTTCGCTTCACTTCTTCAAGAAACACTGGCCATTCACTAAGTGTTCACAACTGAATCATTCAAAAACCTTCTGTGTTTGACTGGAAGTGACTTTAAAAACCTCGTCTGGTGTTTACACGAGGAGCTGTAGCACTTCAACATCCGATCTACAAGAACAGGTAGATGTTGGTACACCCAGCTGGCTCCTCCCATTGTGGTCTGCAGCCACCACAGCATTCCCAGAGAACTGGGCCCGTGGGCAGAACCATCACTAGGAGAGCTCTCAGTGCTCAGCACAGCCGGTTTCCATCAGCCAGGACCTGCCTGCTCCCCCAGCAGAGGATGTGCACAGCCTGGAGAGAGCAGCGTTTAGCACTTTCATCCATCAGTGTCGGGGCTCCCTGACAGGCACTTACTCACAGGCACTCATTGCTATTCAATTTGCCGCTCACTCTGGGTAGAAACCCGGTGATCTCCACAGCCCCATCGATCGGGATCATTTTTCAGCCTGCTTCCTGGCCAAGACGCCTTGGCTCAGCAGTGGTGCTGCTTGCTCGGCAGGACAGCACTGCCAGTGCATGAAGAGCTGATTTATGAATATGGAGCACTGCTGGCACCAGGGGACTGGCTTCTGCCACCAGAGACTGCTGGAACATACTTACTGCTTCCGAAAGCTGAACTACAGACTTCGACTACTTTAATTTTATGCATGCATTTCATTATAAGTCTTGGCCAGAAGCTTTCCCAGACAAGCCAAGCAATCAGACAATCTTGCATCGTTTGCTGAAATCCAATTTTGTCCTTTGTCAGCATAAACAGTTTAATTTGATGTTTTCACTCCTGAGTAAGCACTGAGTATCTTTTAAATCTGCCTTGCAAGGGAGGACATCACTATATCCATCCACAAACATATTCCAGGCAAGATATCTGAGCACATTAAAAACAGAAAAATCTGATTAATTTCCAGAAGAAAACTGTTCAAAGATACACATACAGATTTAATAAAGCACCCTTAGAATACTGGGGGGAGGGGTGAAAATCATACTCTAAATAAAATAGAAATACAGTTCCTATTCTGATCTTTGATACATTTTCTGCCTCAGCACCATTTTTCACTGATACACATAAGCAAATCTCCTTTCACTCAAACACATGCAGTGTACCAGGAGCAGAAAGGTAAAGGACATCGTGCTGAGAAGGGCTTTGTGTGGGATCCTGCACAGAAGGAACGTGCAATCACCAGGCAGATCTGGCGCAGCTGACAGCAAACCAAAGCTAAAGCTGCAGTAAAATTAATCCCATGAAAGTCTGCTCCCTAATTGAGCTTACTCTGCTACTTCAGGTTTTTTTTGGAGGGAAGGAGGAACGGGCAGGATCTTCAGAAATACCACATTTTAAATCTTTTAAAACACAGGCACAAAAGTAACCACGTACATAACGGCTGCTGCGCGACTGCATTCAGGCAATTAACTACTAGCAGTTGGCAGCTTAAAGTCAGTTATCGTTTTACAGTTTTCTACAACACTGGGTAGAAGGCAATTACAAGAATCAGAGATTTACACTTTTTTTAAATTATATTAGAGGCTAAACAATGGCATCACACAACGTGACTGTTACACAGGTTTTGCCAAGGAAATAATTCACCAGTTCCTAAGGTAATGGCACCATCTATTGGTCTAGCACTACCTCTGCAGAAATCTCTGTAAATGAACCACAGTTCTCATTACCGTACAGTTAACTGCATCACTCTGCCTAACAGTTGTGCAGTTCTCACAGTTCAAAGACATGGAAAGCTTTAATTGTTAAAGGCTGTGTGTTAAAAATAACTTTGTTAATTTCCAGCAAGGCAAGGTAGTTCAGAGGCCACAGCCTCTCCATACACTTACAGGTATGTATAGGTTCACACTTGGTGCCCCACACAAAACCTCATTCTCCTCAACCTTTATGAGATACATTGTGAGACACTTCTCTAAGTTCTGCTTTAAAGTATTTTAGGTTTTTGTTTACCACTTTTCCCATTAAAAAAAAGTAACTTATGTACAGACCTGGCCTGTGTGTACCAGAACCTCAGTGTGTTTCTTCTAAGCCTTCTCTGAGCTTTTAGCATTCTAAGAAGGTGATCTCAAAGGAATTCATTTTCAGGAGAACACCTTCGCCTTCAAATAATGAGGAATATATTAAAGCTCCAATAAAAAAATAGACAAAGTTGGTTTGCGTGCTTTTTCTAACCACTGGTAGTGAAAGCTTTATGCACAGGAATTATTATTTGCCTTGGTTTTTCTTCATTCTCAGAACCCAAACTGCTGGCAGTAACACCAAAAAAGGATCAGCACAGGTGTGAGGGGATTCAACACTTGTATCAAACTAGAAGCACAACAATGCTTACTTAAGACAGACAAAATTAATTTTAAGTTGCAAGTGGGGACTTCAGGAATAACAAGCCAGCTCCTGCGAAGCAAAACTCTGCCCCTGGAATATGAGGACCACCGAAATTGAAAAATCAGCTGAAGAGGAACACAGTATCTCAAAAGAAGACAAAGGAGTGACAGGAAGAAGCAAGGCAATCATGTGGATTATAGAACGGTCCGGTTCTCAGGCTCTAAGAAAGCCATCATCACTACTCCTCAGCAAGGGGTGAAAACTGCGTGTTCAAGGAAATATTTAATCCCAAAGCAAGCTAAAATGCTGATTACCTCTGGCCAGCAAAGTAGAATGCTCAAGTCAGGAAGATTTAATGCTCTCATACTGCAGTACAATGGAGGCAGCACTTACCCATGGTAACGTAAGGCAATTTGTCAGTTGATCCATGGGGATATATGCTGTAAAGGTGAGGTCCAGTGACATCTACACCTCCTAAAACCAAGGCAGCACCAATATAGCCTTGATACCTAGGAACAACATTTACACATGGATCTGAGAATCTGTGATAAAGCAGTGGGGTTTTTGTTTGTTTAAAAGCCACAATGCACAGATTTGAGAATTTCTCCATGCTTACACCACATACACCTCTGTAACAGAACTTTTACTATCAGTGTATCTGTGATTAAGTTTATAATTAGGGACTTTGAAGAAAACATGCTCGTTCCTCCATGAGACCTCCTTGGCTACTTTAACTTTTTAACTCACTGTGTCTTATGGCATAAATAAGGCAAGCTGCCCAGCAATACAGCATCAAACAACTAAGATGAATTAATAGAATCTACCTATTGAACGTATTGAAGCTTTTTTTTGAGTTTTATTTGGTTTTAGGCTTTATTTTATTTTCCTGAAGCTATGGGAGAGTCTCCAAGTGTACACACTTACTTCATTCCTTCTTCTCTTCCAAAAGTATTTTTTACTTCTATGAAAAACGGTATTAAAAACAGTACTGAAACGCTTAAAGATTTGGAGAACATGCCCTCAATTTAATGGCATGTTTTAAGTCATGTTGCTGAGAGGAATTGCAATTGCCATAGTACAAGTTTGCAACCAAACAAGCAGATAATTTTTCCTTAAGATAACCACAGCACAACTTCCAATAATATAAATCAGTGCTGTACAGCTGCAGCATTGGCTCTCTAGAATACTACAAGGCTTTGTTTCCTTCATCTTGGTTCAAATAACTACGAAGGACAGAATCTTTTTGTAAGTCTTGTCATGGAGGTTACACAGAGAACCACCACAGCTGGTGGCCTTAACAGCATAGCTAATAAATAGGAAAGCATTCAGTCACCTGAAAAGCATTTGCTTTAGCATTTGATTAGCTGTGACCACACGTGGAAGTCGTCCTGTAGACAGCGCATGGAGCTCCAGATTGGAAGCAATCAGCTGAGTCGTCATCTCAGTGTCTGCAGCTGTGCCCGCACCACAACAGCTGAAAGACATTACAGGTTGCACACGGTGAGCGGGGGAAGGAAAGCAAGTAACCAAATATGGCCACACAGGAGCTCTGGCTGCTTTATTCAACACGTTCAGCTTCTTTTCTGCATTTTCCCCCCGAGTTATCCCAGCTCATTCAACGCCCATCACCACTGTTTTCCTCCTCCGCCACCCCAAGGCAGCGTTTGCAGTTTCTGAACCACAGCCGCCCGCAGCCGCAGACTCCTTTCCCTCACTGCAAACCCGAGGAAATCAACATCCCACCCGGCCAACGCTTGCAGAGCACGAAGCAAAAAGCAAACGAAACGCCAAACAACGAGCAGCCCGTTCTAATAAGCGCAAGTTAACGTTTTAAGCTACACCTCAGTCCGTGCTGCCGGCAAACACGCAGCCAAAAATCCCATCCGCTCCCGACGCCGCCGCAGCACAGCCTCCTGCGATACTCACTAGATGTTGGAAGAGATGTAGTGTATTTTCGAGCAGTTCTTGTCAGCGACGACCATCCCTTCGGTCGCCCTCGTGTCGGCTCCCAGCACCACGCCATCCTGCGGAGGACACAACGAGGCCTGAGCCCGGCCCGCGCCCCCCCGCCCCCCCCCGGCCCGGCGCCTCGGCCGCTCACCTTGAAGACGACTCCCGCGATGGTGGTGCCCGTCTTGCGGGCCGCGGGCAGCCGCTGCCCCTTCTGCCCGAGTTCGGCCTCCAGGAGCGAGTTCCTGCAACGCGAGGAGCCCCGCGGGCCGCGTGAGCCCGAGCCCGAGCCCCAGCCCCGCGCCCCGTCCGCGCGAACCCCGCGCCTCACCGAGCGCAGTTGTCGAAGCTGAATCCGCCGCTCGGGGCCCGAAGCGCCGACACCGCCGCCATCTCCGCGCTGCTCCGTCACGGCGCACCGAGCGCTTCCGGGGCGGCCGCGTGCGCGCGCAGCGGGGCGGGGATGGGAGCGGGGTTGGGGCGGCGCCGCGACCGGGGCTGCGAAATGGCGGTTGCGGCGCTCCGCCTTCCCGGCTGCGCGCTGCGGGGGCTCCGCGCGGTGCCCGGCCGTGGGACGCGGACGCGGCTCTGCCCGGTTCGGGCTCAGGAGCCGCTGGTGAGCCCGGCGTGCTGCAATAAAGTACTTCGGTCCGTGTCTGCGAAACGCGCGGGGCGCGGCGCTGCTGGGCTGGAAGGAGCTCCAGAGACCGCCGGGTCCGAACCCCGCAGCGCCGGGCGTCCGGAGTGCCCTGGACTCCGCAGGGGAGGAGGACGCCGGCCCGGGCGGCCCCGCACCGCCAAGCAGCTCCTCCACGCGGCGGTGCGTAACGCGCTGCTTTCAGCCGCCGCTCCGCGCCCCGGCACCGCGCGCCGCTAAAAGCCTGCTGGCGTCCCGGATGTTGGGCTCGAGCTCAGCACGGAGCTGCCCCGGGCTGCGCATCCCGCAGCGCAGCCTTCCCCCGGGGCGGGTCCGCCGGGAGCCCCTCACCCGCTCCGGCCGAGCCGAGCCGAGCCGAGCTCCTCCCGGTGCCAGCAGCGCTCCGTGTGCCCCAAGCATCCGCGGTGAGCCGCCGGGACGGCTCCGGTCGGGGCAGGACGGGCAGCCGGGAGCTCTGAACGCCTTCTTTTGTAAACCGAGGCTTCCTCGTACGGCCTCCTTTGCCTCTGTTTGACCGTATTTAAAATGGAAGTGATGCTACTTGTCCTGGCGGGTAGGACTTGTTCAGTGGGTTGTGGAAAAGGGTTGAGGCTTTCAAAGAAAATGAAAGAGCAAATAAAGGAGAAAAAGAGGGGGAAATTCAAACTGTTCTCTTTAGATCTTCTGAAGAATCTACAATTATAAGAGAAAATGCAAACCTACCTAAAGCTGCTGAGCTGTGGAGGTCAGTGATGTTATTTCAGTGTCTTCTGAGCACACTACCCCAGACCTCCACCTTCGCTTTTCTGTTCTTCCAGCTGACCCAGGAAATGGAACGGCCCATGTCTGCAGATCAGAACCTGTGGCAGCTCCCCAGGAAAGGACCCCTTTGAAAGCAGCACAGACACAGTGAAATTTTTCAAAAGTTTGACACATATCTCACATGCACTCTAGAAGTATACGTGCTTGAAATTAAAACCATTACGTGAAGCCCTCTCTCCCTGAGGAACACATAAGAATCGATGTAGGATGTTGGCTTCTTGCCTAAGGGAAACTTTCCCTGTGCACTTTACCAAATATCTTCCTTCTTAAGGTGCTTCATCCTCAGGGCACAGCATCCCGAGTACGAGGCACTGCTGAGAGGAGCAGGTCTGCCTGTCCAGAAGGAGCAGCAATTCCTGCATCAGAAGTGAATCAGACATCTTGTAGGCTCCTCTGGATGGGACCCAGTTAGCAGATGGCCTAAAAATGAGAGTAGAACCTCACATCTCCAGATCAAAACTGCATGTCTGCAGCATCCCTCCGAATTATTTGACAATGAACGTTCCCATCCGTGTGCTGTTCAGATGAAGGAGTGGGGGGCAAAGCTATTGTATAATGTCTGCTTTTCCCTCCAGTGTTCCTTTTGGCACAGGCTAAATCAGACAGTGTTCCACACATGGATTCATTGCCTCTGTGTGGTGCAGGCCACAGATAAAGTTTGGCTGCCTGGTTTGAGGTGGTGTGCTGTATATTGAAAGCATCGATTCCTACAGACTGCAAAAGACCACCTTGAAGATGAGCACACAAAGAACCTGCAGTCCACACTCTTTTCTCCCCCTTTTCTCAACCCTTGGGTAACTTAAATTCCCATTTTTCTATACACCGGTACACCAGTTTGGCTGGGAAGCTGTCTGAGAGAAGGAATATCCTGCTGCCAGATGCTCTTTTTTTAATTCTAACACAGTTGTTCTTCTCTTCACTTGATAAAGTTAAAATAAATAGTCTCTGGGGTGAATTACAGGCATCAAAATTGGATTGGCATACAAACTACGGAGCAGTTGGTGGTTGAGAGTCTGGGGAAAAAGAAACAGCAGGTTTTAGCTAGAGGGGACAACAGCTTTATTTCCCTCTTGGTCCTTGACAACCAAGCAGATGTCCTACAATTATTGTTTTACCTTCTAGTAATGCAGTGCCTTTTCCTATCCTCTCAGGTATGCGGCTGGTTCTCCTGCAGATGTGCAGGTAGGGCTCTTCCCTCAATCAAAGCTGTCTTGGTGCACCACGAGCTCCATCTATTGCTGGTTGACACTGGCAGAGATTCAGATAAACACTTGTTTCTTCCTCTCATCCTGATGCAGTACCTGTTTCTATACCACAATATGTAGGTAAAACTGATAGTCTTAAGAATATTTTCTGAACACCTTACACAGGCTTTTTTGTACCTGTTGTCTTGCAAACTTTGCTTCTGGTTTGATGCCCTTCCCTGTATAATTTGCTTGAGTTTTCTACAGTACTCCAGAGACCTCCAGGCATTAGAACATCTAAGTCCCTCATGCTTAATGCCCACAGAACTCATGGGAAGCTGTACCGGGTCCCTGCACCACCCAGCTCTGTGCATGGCCGTGGTCAGAGGCAATGCACATTGTCCAGAAGAAAACACACAGTGCTGTTGGGCTCAACCCATCACCATGGCCATCTCACATGCATCCCAGCAAATACATTCATGAGTTCCCAGCGAGCCAGCAGTGACTGTCATGTCCCAAGGTGAACTTGTGTTAGGAGTGGAGCCAGGTAGAGATAATCACTGAACTGGAGAATAACTGCACCATGTGTCTCTCCTGCTCAAAATCACTCTAATTTCCAACATCTTGCCTCAACCACGATCTGTTAACAATGCACAGGCCAAGAATCTGTCAGAGGAATTTAAATACAACTCTGACAGATTGTAACGAGATACATAGACTAAAACTTTACCAACATGTGGCTTTCTTTTAAGGCTAATCAAGGAAGTGCTCACTCAGGTTGGGATGGAAAGTGGTCTGTGAGGAATTTCTGTTGTATAACTCCTTGTTTCTGAAAGCAAGAGATCTATTGGAGGCGTTCAGACCCAGAGGAAATAGAGAGTTGACCTAATACTAGAGGGTTTATTTACTTAAAACTGGAAGAAGAGGCTGAAGCTGGGAGAGTGGCAGTCAAGAGGTGACACACTGAAATATGGAGTGAGTTTCCAAGATCTTCTGGGGGAAAAAGAAACTTTCTGAATAGGGAAAAGAAGCTGGCAGAGGTGCAGAAGAGGCCATCCCCCTCCACAAGGGGGATGAGGAAAGCCCATAGGGAGCCCTTTGCTTGCTGATAGCTAGATTCTGTAGGATGCTAGATAGGAAAGTCCAGTGCTTATCTTATGGTATTTTGTAGCATTATTGTACTGACATCATTGTGCTGTCTATCACTTGTCAATACTGTTTAGGACAAATGCCTGAAATTCTCGTGTTCTGTTGACAATTGCAGAAGTCCTTCTGTTAGTAAGTGTTAGTAGAGTAGGTTTTCAGCTTTATTTAGTCTCTGGCAGAAAAACTGGCAAAACCACACAATTGGGAAGGAGGAAGACAGCTTCAGTTATGAAGAGCCCCTGTGCAGGGAGGTGCAGAACCCCTGCCCATCCCGGGGCCTGCAGGGAGGTGCAGTGGCCATAGGGCTCCCTGCATCCCCAGCACCACCCCCACCTCACACACTGCCTGCTGTCACGGGTCTCCCAGCACTGGTCTTTGGATGCATGCACTGATGTTGCATCTGGGATTAAGAAGGAGAGGGTGGGACAGAGTAGAAAGAAGGGGAAACTTTCTCCCAGCTGTACACTTCCTCTTTCTCAACATCTGCGTTCCTGTAAGTTGACACAGAGCTGCTTATGGCAGTTGTTTGTAGACCCTCCCTTCTATCTTGTGCCTGAGATGAGTAGCTGCAGCATAAAGGTGGTTTCTCTACGGCCAAGTTCCTGCAGCACAGCCCTGGGCCATCTGCTTAGCGGTGTGCTGGTGCTGCGTGCTGCTGTGCTGATAGCTGGAGCTCTGCTGTCGCACAACAGTCGCGTATGGAAAGCTTTACCCTCTAATGTGAAAAATGGGAAAGACAGATGCAGTCTGTGTCTAACATCGTTCTCATGGTTATTCCTCTCATCTTGCAGGAGTTCTCCTGCTGCTGCCTTCCCTCTGCGTGAGCAGCAGGGCCCCTGGTATAGAAAGCAGGTGCAGGGTCCCTGTCACTGGGTCTGAGGGATGTCAGGTATCAGCCAAACATTGGGGATGTTTGTGAACCTGAGCTCACGCATGTTGCCCAGCTGCACTGCTTCATAAGGGACCTCAGTGCAACAGTATTTTTAAAAGTTTTTGCTAAATGTGATTGCATTACATTACATTACATTAATGTACATACACCAATGATTAAAGAAGATCCATAGCGGGCATCTGGTGAAAACAGCGAAGTACTTTCAGAGAAGACCATGGAAAAAGGTTATCAGAGATTTAGTGTTTCACAAAGGATCAGAACCAAACGCCCTGCCTTGGCGGTAGGAGAATGGGAGATTTAGGAGCAGTTAGCAGCTTGGGCAAGAAACAAAGATGAATAATAATGGCAGCTCCTATTTTTTTCTATTAAAAGTTCCTAGGCTACACAGATTTGTTGTAAATGATGACACTGAATAACAAGCTTTGCCCAAGCTCCGCTGAAAGGCTCTTTAACATCAGCAGCCGATGCCCTCCTGCGCGGGGACACAATTGAGTCTGCTCCTCCAGACAATGCACCTGTCACTGGAAAACAGAGAGCTGGCAATTAGCAGGGGAGGCTCCGCACTGTGCTTTCATCCCAGACAATGAGAAGGGCCTGGAAGAGCACGATTAAGGCTGGCATGTCCGCAAGAGATTGTTGGAACAATCCCCACTGAGACTTTTGGGCATTTGAAAACACAAAAACAACAAAAAACCCTGGTTAAATCTAACTCTATAGACAAGTCTAGAAAGCAAAATAGCACTGGAACAGGACCATTTGCT